TCATGGTTTCGCTCTTCTCGCCAGGGCCGCACTCTGCCAAGGCGGGTAGCAGGCCCGGACGAAGCCTTCTTTGAGGGGGTAGGGTTTAGGGTTTAGGGTTTGGGGTTTGGGGTTTGGGGTTTGGGGTTTGGGGTTTGGGGTTTGGGCTTCTGGGTTTTAGGTTTGGGGTTTGGGGTTTGGGGTTTTGGGTTTTGGGTTTGGGGTTTGGGGTTTGGGGTTTAGGGTTTAGGGTCTGGGGTTTAGGGTTAGGCTTAGGGTTTAGGGCCTAGGGGTTTAGGTTTCTTGGGTTTCAGGAAAGGGGAAATCGACGCTCTTGGTAAGGCCCCTTTGAGAGGAACCAGAAGGCTAAAGGGTAGCCGTGGTCCTGCCCCTGATTCTTGGTTGAGGACATCAAGGTTTAGGGCCGTGGGGACGTAGGGTGCACCGGTTGCAGGGTGTAGGGTTTAGGGTTTAGGGGTTTAGGGTTTAGGTTTTAGGGTTTAGGGTTTAGGGTTTAGGGTGTAGGCTGTAGGTTGTAGGGTGTAGGGTGCCGGGTTCAGGGGTTTAGGGTTTTAGGGCTTTAGGGGGTTTAGGGCTTAGGATTTAAGAATTAGGAGTCAAGCTTAGGTTCAGGTCTTTCATGGGGCCTAGGGCTTAGGGCCTAGGGCCCAGGGTTTAGGGTTTAGGGTTTGGGGTTTAGGGTTTAGGGTTTGGGGTTTAGGAGTCTAGGATTTGGCGTTTTGGGGTGCTCAACCAAGACCGGGCGACAGCAAGGCCCTCGATTCGAGCCAGCGCGCTTGCAGGAGGGCGAGGAGGGGGTTGTCCTGCAAGTATGGCTGTTGGGGTTTAGGGTTTAGGGTTTAGGGTTTCGGGTTTTGGGTTTAGGGTTTAGGTTTTTGGGTTTGGGTTTAGGGTTTTAAAGTGCAGGTCTTAGGGTTTGAGGCTTCGTGTTGAGAAGGCAGAAATTTAGGATGTATAATAGATTGTTTATGGGTTTGCAAGTTCATAAGGCTCAACTACGGAACTACTTTGAGGGAACACAGACCGGGAATGAAGAGCGACTTGCATGCGTGTCAATGTAGATACTTAGATACTGTATGTGCTGATACGAAAACAGAAAACCTGGGCTCAGCTGGGGTGCCTGAGCTTCTAGTTTGGGCCTCAGCGACCGGGTGTTCGCGCAGAGTTTGCCGAACTGGGAGCAGTGTGACTCTAAACCCTAAACCCTAAGCCGGAAACCCTAAACCCTAGACGCCAAACCCTGTACAATAAGGAAGAAATCATGACATTGAAGACTGAACTGGGGGGGGGGGGCTGCTTTCAGGCTGTGGAAGCTTCGCGTCTCGTGTCCAAAGAGCCTGAAGCAGGCCTGGGGTAGGGTTTTGGAAGTTCGGGGTTTAGGGTTTAGGGTTTACAAACCCTAAACCCTAAGCCCTAAGCCCTAAACCCCAAGCCCTAAAACCCTAAAACCCTAAACCCCAAGCCCTTAAACCCTAAACCCTAAACCCTAATGGGGTGCAGGTGTCCTCCTGACGGTCAGCAAGGCCGAGCATGGCCTCGGCTTCGGCGCGGACCTGCGGGCTTTCTAGGGTTTTAGGGTTTAGGGTTTAGGGTTTCGGGTTTCGGGTTTAGGGTTTAGGGTTTAGGGTTTAGGGTTAGGGTTTAGGGTTTAGGGTTTAGGGTTTAGGGTTTAGGGTTTAGGGTTTAGGGTTTGGGGCTTGGGGTTTGGGGCTTGGGGTTTGGTACCCTTTTGGCTCAAAGGGGCTTCTAAGGAACCTCAAGCAAGGAGTAAGAGACTACTGTGGCTTCGAGGACTGTCCAGCCTCTACTGTGTTGGGTTTTGATGTCTAGGGTTTGGGGTTTAGGGTTTAGGGTTTAGGGTTTAGGGTTTAGGGTTTAGGGTTTAGGGTTTAGGGTTTAGGGTTTAGGGTTTAGGGTTTAGGGTTTAGGGTTTAAGGCACTCGGCGCGGCCTTCTCCCAAACCTCACATGCAAGGGTCTACAGCGGACCCTACCACTTGGAGGTTCAGGGTACGTATTAAACCCTAAACCCTAAACCCTAAACCCTAAACCCTAAACCCTAAACCCTAAACCATAAACCCTAACCCAGTTCTAAGTGTAGCTATAGCCCACTTGTAAGCTCCTTAAGTACCCTAGAAGGGCTATAGTTGGGTTAGGAGTGCAGTTATACTTGGAGTACAAAGTACCATGAACCTCTAAGCGGTACATCCGAAACCTGAAAGTCGTGCGGCAATGGCGCATCCATCCCATGCTCGGACATCTCCCGCAGCGCTTGCTGCACCTCTGTGGCAAGGAAGCAAAGCAGCTGGGGCCCCTACAAGTACTACACAACCAAAGGAGCATGAGTACATTGTTGGGGACACTTTTGGGCTTGGGCGGCCAGGGTTCAGGGACTCAGGTTCAGAGTTTGGAGTGAAGGACCGCCTAGCCTTCTGTGAAGCACCACGGCGTCAACTGCATGATTTCCATCATTGCGGTAACAACGTACCACAGGGTCCTAGCAGCCTTCGCTTGCCAGAAACTAGATGACGAGGAGGAGACCCTTTCTTCTATTGGTTTTGGAATTGCTGCAACACAGAACGAAAATAGAAAGAAGGGCACCACTGGATTTCCTAGTCGCCAGAGCTTTTCGGGATTTACAAGGCACTTGGGTCCTAGCGTTGGGCTTGTAGGGCCATAAACCCTAAACCCTAAACCCAGAACCCTGAACCGTGAACCCTAAACTTACAGGGTTTAGCAATTAAATCAGATAGTCCTGGTACCAAAACCACAGCCCGAATTACACCCTTCTAGCAGATTTTTGGGCAGCAAAACAATTTGAACCCTAAACCCTAAACCCTAAACCCTAAACCCTAAACCCTAAGGCACTTGCAAACCTAGCGTCAAGGAGCGGGCTTAGGGTTCCGGTTTGTAGGGTTACCAGTATCAAGACGTAGACTCAACCTGAACCCTAAACCCTATGCCCTAAACCCTGAACCCTGAACCCTAAACCCTAAACCCTAAACCCTAAACCCTAAACCCTAAACCCTAAACCCTAAACCCTAAACCCTAAACCCACACCCTGGAAAGATCGGCGGCGGCACACCATCTCCCGCCGACAGGAAGGAGGTAAAGTAGTCGTGAGGAGGCGGCACCTCAATTCTGGCAACAAAAAACATCTTCCATAGGAACCCAAAACCAAAAGGCAAAACAAAAACATCTTCTATAAGAACGCCTCGCCTAGAAGCCGAAGCCCGAAGCAGCATGAGGTCTACAGACCCTAAAGCCTAAACCCCTGAAACCGAAACCCCTGAACCCGAAACCCCTAAACCCTGAACTCCTAAACCCCTGAACCTGAAACCCCTAAACCCTAAACCCTAAACCCTAAACCCTAAACCCTAAACCCTAAACCCTAAACCCTAAACCCCAAACCCCTGAACCCGAAACCCCTAAACCCAAAACCCTAAACCCCCTAACCCTAAACCCCTTAACCCTAACCCCTAAACCCTAGCCCTAAACCCTAGCCCTAAACCCTAAACCACGGACACCGAGCCACATATCGAGTTGCAGGGAGGCCGAGGTAGGCCGCACTGAGGTACCGCAGTCGGTAGTAAGCGGCATCCAAGGCCATGACCATCTTCACCTTTTAGGGTTCAGGGTTCAGGGTTCAGAGTTCAGGGTTTAGGGCTTGGGGTTTAGGGTTTAGGGTTTAGGGTTTAGGGTTTAGGGGTTTAGGGTTTGAGGTTTAGGGTTGAGCGCTTGCTTCAGAACTTAGGAACGACCTGGTAGTTGAAAGAATTAAAAGGAGGGGGTTGAGGCTTCGAGGTTTCTTCGGGCTTTGAGGAAACTAGGATGTGAACCCTGAATCCAAAAACCTACACCCCCAAACCCCAAACCCTAGACCCCCTAAACCCCAAACCGGGCGACTTTGGGAACAAGAGGCCACGGTGGTTTAAAGTTTTGCCGGCAAGCCCTACAATTGAGAGGGCGTTGAACGACCCGAATCCTTGAACCTAAATCTTTCATTTCTCAAGGACGCAGATGTAACACTCAGCACTAAACCCTAAGCACCTACGTGATTCACACTGCAGTACTTCATGGGTGGAGCATGAAGAGTCATATTGTGCTGACAAGCCACCTGGTTCGGGGTTGAGGGTGCCTTTTCCAAAGGGCTTATGTAGGCAAATGTCGGGTGCCTGCAGGATCTTGTATGACCAACTCTGGCAAGAAAGCGCTTAGCAGCTATAGCATGTTCGCTACACTGCTACACTGAGAACCAAATGACCCCTAAAATTAGGGTCATATACCTTACTCTACTATAATTCCATTAAGGTATATGAACCATAAACCCTTTTAAGGTTCATTTGGTCCCCAAGGCACACCGGACTGCCCGCCTGCCCAGGTGGGTCCACCTTTCCCGCGACAAGGGCAGATTTCACTTCACGCGCGGCTTGCTCGTGCCTCGAAGACGTGGGCACTGAGGCGTCTGAGGTGTTCGGGGAACGACAGCCGAAAATTCGTAAACTCCCTCCCAAGCAGTTGCTTACACTTGATTCTGGTACCTGGCCGTTGATGTCATGCAGCCGCAGCAGACGTCGCTGCTTCTTGCTAGGGTGCCCCCCCAAGAAGCTAGAGCGGAGCATCATGCAGGAGCCAGATGGTCAACTCTTTCGATTGGATGGTCCCCTTGCCCCTAAACCTAAACCCTAAACCCTAAACCCTAAACTCTAAACCCTAAACCCTAAACCCTAAACCCCAAGGCAAAGAGTCCTGGAGGGTCGTATGAGCCCGGAAACCCGCAAAGAAGCACCGCTTCCCAGAGCTGACCTACGGTTACAAAAGGCACAGCCCAGTCGTCGCACGGGTGTAGGGTTTAGGGTTTAGGGTTTAGGGTTTAGGTTTTCGGGTTTAGGGTTTAGGGTTTAGGGTTTAGGGTTTAGGGTTAGAGGCAACAAGAGCAATAAGGAGCCGCACCGATAACCAAAAGAATGGGCCAATCCACGCAGGTCCAACAAAAGGAGAGCTGTGGCACACAAGGATAGCACAAGTGTGAGATGCCACTTTTGAAATGGGGCGCTTGAGCCAAAGTCACTGTTCAGAGTTGTTCCTCATGATTGTACAAGCGATGTGCAGAGAGGGAGCCTTCTAGAGATCCCTCGGCCTTTACTTTCCCCTGAGAGAGGGGGCGGGGGGGGGGGGGGGCAAGGCCACAACAGGGTACTTGCTACTGCAAAGCTGTGCTGCAGTTCTACGCAATTTTGGCTCGAGGATTGTTCTCCTCCTGAAGCCTATATCTCGTAAACCTTGAACACTGGAGCCAAGGCGCAACCTTGCAACCTCCTGCACCTCGGCAGAGATCTCCCCACCTGTGGACAGAAGATATCTTTGGGAGTCGAGGACTTCGGGCGGAAAGATCAGGGTTTGTGGCTTAGGATTCGGCCTTGAGCCATTCATCCCTTTCCTTCACCCCCTGAACCTGACATCCCGACAAGCCCCTCCAAAAAGTATCTCAAAGTTTCGATTCCGGCTTAGGGTTTCGAGGTTAAGAGCTTGGCGTTTGCTTTGATTCGGGTTTTCGCGTTGCCATTGACTCGCCCCTGCCCTACCGCTTTTCCCGGATGAGGCCTAGAGAGCAGCTGATTGCGGGGCTGAAGGAGCTTGCAGAGTTCAGAAGGCGCAAGAGACACTTCGACGACGTCTTCCTTGTGCGCATACAAACTGGCCCTTGCCATTCTATGCTCCATCCTGTGAACGAGAAATGTGTGGCGATCTCAGTCGAAATTCAGGGATCGTGCTGAGGCAGCGCAGCAGCGTCCCCGAAGTCAGCAAGCTGCGCTTCATGCAGGAGCCAAACTGCAATATCAGGTGAAGCAGGAAGCGTCAGTCAAAGACTTCGAAGCAGCAGTACAGTGAGGCATGGACTGACTTCACAGCTGTGGAGTTAAAGGTTTCAAGGTTTCTCAAAGTGCCGCTCAAGTCCTTGTTGGGACCTTGAGCTCTGTAAACCCTAAACCTGCACGCCTCTATCTGCTCGTCTGAATCATGCGGGGCAAGCTACATAGGCATATGGCGCTATAAGCACTACACAACTCCATTCTTGAGCTCCTTGGAAGCCCTCCAAGACCCCCATAGACCCTGCAAGTCCACTTTGGGGTTAGAGCCCCAAATACACCCTAAACCCTATAACCCCCAAACCCCTAAAACCCCTAAACCCCAAAGAAACCCAGCCCAGCCCCTGAGCCCATAAACCCTACACCCCCAAACTCTAAACCCCTAAACCCCTAAACCCCTAAGCCCTAAGCCCTAAGACCCTAAAAACCCTAAGCCCTAAACCCTAAACCACGAAACCCTAAACCCTACTGTAAACCCTAAACCCCAAACCCCAACCACTGCCACCCAGCCACTTTCGCGCGCGGCCGCGCGCCGCAGCGCGCCCGCGGCCTGGGCCGCGGCGCGAGCCTAGGTTCCAACAACTAAGGGAGGTTCCAGGTTCGGGAAACTAGGGTTTAGGGTTTAGGGTTTAGGGTTTAGGGTTTAGGGTTTAGGGTTTAGGGTTTAGGGTTTAGGGTTTCGGGCTGAGGGGTTTAGGGTTTAGGGGTTCTCGATTCAGGAACTTGCGAAATACGGGTCCAGGTTAGGGAAACTCGGGTTCAGGGTCTAGGGTGAAGGGTTTAGGGTCCAGGGTTTTGAGTTTAGGGTTCAAGGAACTTGCAAAATAAGGTTCCAAGTTAGGGAAGCTAGGGTTTAGGGGTTGGAGGTTCTAGATCAAGGAACTTGCACACTAAGGTTCCACGTTAGGGACACTAGAGTGGCGCACGCCAAGATATGGACATCCACAAGGTTTGCAAGCAAAAATCGGTGCCTTCACCATGGAAGCTTCATTGAGGTTGCTTAACGGCAACCCAGAAGCCAGTAGTGATGCCTCGTAGCCCTTGCCCGCCAGGGCCTCAGAGAGTTTGATGGCTTAGGCTGCTTAGGGGGGTTTGGTGTTTGGGGTTCGAGGAGCTTTGGGGGTTGTAAGGAACCCTAAACCCTAAACCCTAAACCCTAAGCCCTAAACCCACTCAGCGGGTTAATTGGGGCTTAGGGTTCCCGAGCTGCCTAACAACCCAAAAAACTGAAAACCCTGCCTGACGCTAGACCTAAACTCACCCTGAAACGCCCGTAAAGAAACTCGAAAATATCCTTGGACGCTCACCCTAAAATAACCCCGACATCCCTAAAGCACCTAAAATAACCCTAAGATCCCTACAGCACATGAAGTCCTGCCCAGCGGCCGCTTTCCTGGCGCCCGCCAGTGCGCGGATGACGGCCGCCACCCCCTCAGCCAGCGAGGGGCAAGTCGGGAGAAGGGTTTAGGGTTCAGGGACTAGGGATTAGGGTTTCGGGTTTAGGGTTTCGGGCGTAGTCGAGGATCCTGGTTTGGGCCGTTTGCAACGTGCAAAACTTCAAAAAAGTTACTGGGCGTAAGGATTCGGGTTTTGGGTTTTGGGTTTTGCGTTTTGTGCCTAGGCTTGGGGTT